TTTTTTTTTTTTTCCATTAAAAAAACACTGGTGGCTGTAGCCTCCTGACTTAGTCCTGACTTGGTGTTCAATCTAATGCTTACTCCTTCTCCACTTCTTATTTTTACAGGTGTTTATTTCACAGTGTTACTAGAAAAATTGCACTTGTAGTATGTGCAGGGTAGAGTTACTTTCGGAGTTACTCTAGGAGTAGAAATATTTTACTCTAGGATGATAGATACTCAGTATTTTTGATACAGACATAACTTACCCTTCCCTCACCAATAAGTTCTAATTGGAGACATTGCTAATTACACCTAGGCTAATAATTTTTCTGCAGAATCAAGAAGCATCCTTAGAATTCTTTTTAACATAGTGACACTTCCTAGAACCGCAATCAATTAATAGATGGAGTGCTGGATTTTTCAGTAAAATCTGCAGGTCACCAGATTATTTTGCTTCCATCTCTAAAGAACAGTGACTATCAGGGTATAAAAGTTAAGAAAAGAGCCCTTTCCCCGTGTTCCTCATTATCTTGTCCTCCTGTCTTATAGTAACCCGTGTTCTAACAATGGTCATGTTTCTTGAGTGTTTTATTTTTTTTTTCCCACTACATTTTTGGGGGTTACATGTATAATTTTGTAAAAAGCATCTAAATTTTCTTTTTAGTGCCTTCTTTGCACTATAACAATAATGTTATTACTGTTTCTGAGTATTTTACTTCAGGATTCACCAAATCCTTTCTTGAATTCCAGGCCTGTTAGATTTTTCTAGTTACATGTCAGACACCTAAAATAATTTTTCACAGGTAAGTTCTGCTGTATTTCTTGAATACAGCTAATTTTCCTTTTTTATTCCTATCAGTGATTTCTGGTGCTGTTGACAAAATATGATATGCATCAGAAGGAGAAAGCATGCCATTTCTTCAAGGGAGAGTTTCTGGGCCTAATCTCAGAAAGAAATTTCTTACAATCAGGGTCAAATGACAGATAGATTATTGGCCCCAAAAATAGTTTATAACAGATGTAGAAGTAGATCTACATAAAATATAATTCAGGCAAAGCAACTCTGAGAAATGAGGCTAATATGTTCTTCTGACCTCACCTGGTCTAAGTAGAGTATGTAGATTAAAGGAAGGTGTTAGTCCCTCTACTGTTATTCCTAAATTATACCTTCTGTAAGCTGGTTATTTGCAGAAGCTGGATAACAGATGGTATGTTTGGAGTAACCATCTTTGATGAGGTTTTGGATTGCTCTTTTTATTAGTTTTCTGTATTGATTGTTAAAGTTGGTTACTTTTATAGATGTTTTAGGAACTAGATCAACAGATGGAAGAGTTGATGTCCTCTTATGGAAACTTGAATCTAATTAGTGTTGGAAAGGCATGAAGTTATCCCCCATCTATGTGGCAGTAAAATCTAGTAGAACCTGTAGGCAAAGCCAGTGTTTCTTCAGAAAGTAGCTTTACATCACCCCCAAGAGCTGAACAAGTGTTATCATTGGAGTGCACAAAGTTTCCCACCCAACATATGGTCAAAGGACAGAGGCTTTCCCTAAGAACACACTAGCATTTTTTAGGTTACCCAGTCATGAGAACTCAGAAGTGTGACTTAAATAATGTTTTACAAAACTTGGGCAGATCTTTAAGATACCAGTGTTCTAATCTGCCTTCTCCAGAGTGTAGTCTAATTTCTACCCTTTCTATATCCTTTATGAATATTCAGATATTTTATTTATATTGAAAATTTTGAAGGATTTACACTTAGGAACTGTAAACAGCAATTCCTTCTTAAGACACTCAAAGCCTCATCTTTTTGGTTTGGTAGGATTATAAAAAATATCCTTCCTCATTCTAAAAATATCCATCTTTTTGTTTTATTTGTGAAACTTTGAATCACAAACTTTTGAAAATGATTGTGTACACTTTCTGAACTACAGAATATTTCCTCCTGAAGGGTGTGGGTGGTGATTTGCTCTTAGGTATCTAGCTAACACCTGCTGTGGGGCTCAAGGAACTTGAGGACAAGGAGAGTAGAGTAGTGTAAGCAAAACCAAGAGTCCCAAAGAGCACACAATTAGATGGAATATTCTGTAGGACCTCTGTTTTATTGTAGTGGAATTATGATGTAATGAATAGTTTGAGAAGGCAAGAATCAATATATAAAATGTACATGGCAGACAGTTGACACACATGGATAATGATGTGCCAAGCACTGTGTTATGAGTGCTCAGTAAAATAAACCGCTGGCCACAGCCCTTGTCTGTTGTCACCATTGGGCTCCTTCCCCTGCAATTTTTTCTTCCCCTGCAGTTGTTTTTGTTGTCTTATGTCTTAAACTGTAACCTCCTAGAGGCCTAGAGCACTGTAACATCTCTAGTCTGTGTTTGTGTTTGTCACAGGCACCTAGGAGAATACTTTATATGTTCATACTCCTTAAGAGCTGTGATGGGATTTTATAGGTTTGATGTAAGCCTCATCTTTTTGATATACAGATTTGTATTAAGCACCTCCTCTTAGCCATGTTTTGGGAGTAGGGTGGATTAATTGTGTGGCTTTGAAAGATGAATAAGGTTTGATCCATAGAGAAGAGAGGGGTTCAAGGCCGTGGAAGTAGTTTGTGCCAAGGCACAGAATACCCAGAATCCAGAGGCCAGAATGGGCATTGGATACTGGCAAGCATGTTAAGGTTCCTAGTTCAAACCTATTACATAGCTGAGTGGTGGGTACAGTTGCAGCACAGTGTACAAGATTACATTGTTACATTGTGTTTTTTTTCATGTAGCTAGATACTCCCCCCCCCCCCTCAGTGGGCACTTAACACTGAGACATCCCAAGCCCTTTTTATTTTTTATTTTGAGACAAGATCTCACCAAATTACCCAGGCTGGCCTCAAACTTGTGATCCTCCTGCTGCAGCGTCTTTAGTGCTAGGACTGTGCTGAGCCAACTAGATAGGTGTTTAAGGGAAAAATCAGGATACTTTGTTACTTTACTGTTTCTTATGAGAACTCACTGTAACCAGAACAGTTACTGTAACCAGATCAGTTATTGTAACCATTGTTACTATGAATCATTCTGTACCTTTCTCCCCTTCTCTCCCATTTCCACCTCCCAGTCATAATAATAGTGGAAATAGTATTGTTATCTGTGGCTTACCAGGGCTGATCCTATTGTTCTAAAGTCTTCTTGTGAAGTACTCACTGATATTTCCCCCAATTAAGATAAACAACTGATGCTGGAGCCCTTAAGACTACCTTGACCACTTGCCTTCACTGCCTGCAGGGGAGGCAGAGTTCAGACCCAGCCAGGGTGGGCCTGAGCCTGTGTTCTCACCCTTCACCCTGTGGTTGCTCACTCAAGGTGGAGTGTTCCAAATATAGAAGCAAGAACTGGGCATCAGGTGATGAGACTGAGTGTTTACTTATAGGAAACTAATTTTTGTTAATCCTAAAGAAATCTTTTTAAAAATTTTAAAATTTTAATTTTAAAAATATTTAAATTTTTAATTTAAATGCATTGGAACAATTCCCTTCTTCATTTTTTAGATATTCAAGCTATGTAATATGAAGGTGATGTTATCAAGGATCTTAGGCTGCTGTATATAATGTCTGTATATTTATGGGATTTTAAATTTTTAATTTTTTCATTATTGTCTTGGGTCCCTTCATTAGCAAAATAGATTTGCCATTCATAAACCTACATTTCAGCAAAATACTTTTGAGTTTTCTCTTTTAAAAACATACATAATAGCCAGCCATGGTGGCACAAGCCTATAATCCCAGTGGTTTGGAGGCTGAGGCAGGAGAATCGTGAGTTCAAAGCCAGCCTCAGCAATGGTGAGGCGCTTAGCAACTCAGTAAGACCCGGTCTCTAAATAAAATACAAAATAGGGCTGGGGATGTGGCTCAGTGTTTGAGTGCCCCTGAATTCAATCCCAATAGCAAAAAAATAAAAAATACATAACAACAGATTATTTTCAGTCAGAAATAATAGTTCTTGCACTTTTCTCACTGCTTTATGGGTTGCTTCAAATAAGTAGCAACAAGAATGTGTACTACAGGGGTGCCCTAAGATGAGAAGAAGACAATGCTTAGTTGACTAAGACAGATCTTATTCTTTTGTGGATATTGATCAGTTCTTGGAAGTGACCTTTCCTTTCAGACAGCTTTAGTGTCAGTTCCTTTTATTGAGAAAACACATGTAATAGGTAAGTGCACTACCCCTGCTATTCTAGTTTTTCTTATTTTCTACATAATTAGCTTTTGTTTAAATGCATGATCTAGTTACTAAACCTGATATTAGTATTTTATATAAGAAGTAATGAGTTGGCTTATTTAAAATGAATTTTAATTGTATGTGTGGTAAAATTATTATTGATTCTTGTGATGGCCATGTTGTGTTTGATTGTACCATTCTCTCTACTCACGGGCAAACAGCTGCCCCTGGTATCTGTGGAGGATTGGTTTCGGACTTCCACAGATAACAAAATCCATGAATACTCAAGTAACTTGTATAAAATGGCATAGTGTTTGCATATAACTTAAATATATCCTCTCATACTTTAAATTATATCTAGATTACTTATAATACCTATTACAATGTAAATGATATGTAAATATTTTGTTAAACTGTATTGTGTAGGGAATAATGACAATCTGTGGTTGGTTGAATTTGCAGATGCAGAACTCATAGATACAGAGGGCCAAATATATTTGAAATGTTTTTTAAAAAACAAACTGCCAGTATAAAAGTGATTTTAGAAATTTGTTTGCAATACTAGTATGTTTCTAAGCCATAATTAACATTCAAATGGGTTTTTCTTTCTCATGTTGACCAGTATGGAAAGTTTGTGAATGTTCCTCAGTTTACACAAATGCTTCCCACTATCAGAAACAAAGAAACCAAAAAAACAATTTCAGTGTGTTGTTTTGCCTTCATTCTCTATCTGGTTGGTATTATTAATAAAATTCTGAATAAACTTCAAGGCATACAGGATAGTTTTTCACAACCTCATGCCCCACTTTTCTGTTTTTCTTCCTCTAGAGGTACATTGCCATTGGAGAGCTGGGGAAAGCCACTGACACACTCGATTCTACAGGGAAAGTGACAGAAGAGAAACCCTATGGTATGAAGCTCATCTGACATTGTCCTCCTTTTTCACATTTAGAGAATGTTTCTGTGAACACAGAATTTAAAACTAAGTGTCTTACTTGATATTTCCAGTGGTTTTATTTATTGATTTTTGTGGTATTGGGGATTCAATCCAGGGCCTCGGATGTGCTAGGAAGTGCTCTGCCACTGAGTGACATCCCCAGCCCTGTTTTTTTTTTTTTGTTTGTTTGTTTGTTTTGTTTTTTTGAGGCCGGGTCACACAAGGTTGCCTAGGCTAGCCTCACATTTGTGATCCTCCTGCCTAAGCTTCCCCCAAGTACGTGGAATTACAGGCATGTGCCACCATACCTGGTTTCTGGTGATTTTAGTTCTCAGTACATTTCTTGAAGTTAAAAAGATTGGAACTTTTGTTTTTAATCACATTTTTACTTGTTTGGTAAGAATTTATGAACAAAGACTTTGTATTCTTTCTTTTTTCCTATAATGAATTTGTGTAATGTTCAGAATTATTCTTTCAAAAACCTCCCTTGCCAAAAACATTTATAGATAGGATTTAGAGTATTTTTCCTTAGTAAGTGAGAAACAAAGCAGAGATACTGTCTTGCTAGATTTTAACTTGTGTCTTTCCTTTTTAAATTTTTAAGAAATAATTATTTCTTAGCTATTAATATAAATGTGCTGGATTTAGGCCTTTAAAACTTATTATGTTATACTTTGGGAGTAAAAAGAATGACAAAGGGAAAGCTCATTCTCTGAAGTAAAGCTGGAACTCACTGGGGCTCACCTTAATTTTTCTGCCATTTCCTCTTTCACTACTTTAAGAAAGGATAGATAAATGAATTGGTCTCCTAGCAACTCTCACCGTGCTGAGCTATTTATAATGCAGCAGTTGTGGATTTGTCAGTCAGTTCACCTGCATTATCGTGTCACCAGCTGTGAATTATTTGTAGGCATTCTGGGTTTTTCCCCCATATTGAATGTTGTTTCTCCTTAATCCAGCTGTAGGCAGTCTGGCCTCTGGCTTCCCTAAGTTTTTGTGTTGATTGTCCCTATTATGTATTACAAGTTGTCCTAGTAGCAAGACCAACCTTTTTCTTGTCCATAATGTCTTCACTTATCTTGTTAATTAATTAATTATTTTTTGGCTTCCAATTTCCTTTTATTTTAAACTTATTTGTTCTAATCAATTATACATGACAGCAGAATGCTCTTCGTTATACACAAATGGAGCACAATTTTTCACTTCTCTGGTTGTACACCCAATTTCCTTTATTTATTTATTTATTTATTAATTTATTAAATACACAACAGTGGAATACATTGCAATCCTTATTACACATATAGAGCACAATTTTTCGTATCTCTGTATATAAAGTATGTTCATACTAACTTTTGCCATTATACATGTACTCTTTTTTTTTTTTTTTTTTCCCAATTCTTTTTTTTTTTTTTTTAAGAGAGAGAATTTTTTAATATTTATTTTTCAGTTTTCGGTGGACACAACATTTTTATTTTATTTTTATGTGGTGCTGAGGATCGAACCCAGTGCCCCGTGCATGCCAGGCAAGCGTGTTACCGCTTGAGCCACATCCCCAGCTCTACAATTTTTAATACACATATATACCACAATTTTTTATATCTCTGTTTGTATATAAGGTATGTTGGTCCCAAATTCAAATCTTCATACATGTATTTTGTATAATTTATATAGAGCTTCGTATCTTGCTCAATTAATCAAAAGAATAAGGTAAAGGAAAATAATTCATTTATTTCTAAATCTTTTTAAAATTATATGTTGAATGATCCTTGAAACTATTAGTAGTATTAGCAAATAATAAATAGATTTAACTGAAATTCAACTCTAACTTTCAACTAGAAGACTTAAGATTAAAGAGGCCAGGGCAATAAGAGGACAGAAAGATTTTCAGAGTATATTAACATACACTGACAGCATGTATATAATTAAGTTTCCCAGTGTCTCACTTTTTTCCAAGTCTAAATAAGGAGAGTGATTGATATTCACACTAATGTCCTGGGATCATAGAACTAAGAATGGGATGCAGCTCAGTGAAGCATAGAGCTGTAGACTATGCAAATCTGAATTTGATTTCTAGCTCTAACCCTTTTCTAGCTGTGTAACTTTGAAAATTTCTTAGTCTCTCTCTGTTTCATTTTCCTCATGTCCAAAGTGATGATAGTGAGACCAGCCTCATAGTCCTATGAGGACTGATTGGAAGAGAATGGATATGGGGGTCTCATAAACAAATCACGAGGCTCTTGTAGTAGTTCTGGGAAAGGTGGTAGTAAATTGGACTAGGGTGATGGCAGTGAGAGACATGGAAATTTTCAAATTAGAAAAGTGGTCAGTAAGTAAAATTGGTGGGACTTGCTGATTGTTGATTGGATGGGGATAGTAAGAAAGTTGTCAACCACGACCTAGGGTTTGGAGGTTTTAAAACTGGTTACATGATGCTGCCACTCAATGAATAGGGAACATTAGTAGACGAGACTGACAAAAATACTTAAAAATCTACCCTTTCTTCCTAGCCTTTAGCATCTAGGAATTCAAAGAACTCTGCCCTTCATTGCATAATTTGTAACTTTATTTACTTGCCTTAAAGAAAGCTCAGTTTGCTAAAATAGTCTTATTATAATGTTGTAATAAATCAGAGAGAACCAAGAATGGTGGGTCATGCCTGTAATCCCAGCAACTCAGGAGGCAGAGGCAGGAGGATCACAAGTTCAAAGCCAGCAACTTAGCAGGACCCCAAGCAACGAAAAGTTTTTTGAAAGGTGGGATGGTATGCTGGGTGGCTCAGTGGTAAAGCACCCTGGGTTTAATCTCCAGTACCAAATAAATAAATAAAATCATAGATATCATTGGTATATTATGTGGCATGTAGAAAAAAAAACACTTAAGGAACTTAATAGCTAATGGAAAATTCTGAAATCTGTTCTTGACCCTCTGAAAACAAATTCTGAAACCTATGAGCAGTATTTTATATGCCTTCATTACTATGCTGAACTAAAATTGAGAACTACTCTAACTTACCTATATGTTTTTTCAAAACAGTATAATACAGTAAATGAAATATAAAGAAAAAAATTAAAGTAGCTTTTAATAAAATAGATATAGTGATATGTATTATATGTATATTTATATATTACTATACTAACAGTCTTCATGAAGATGTCCACACTAAAATATTGTGAATCGAGGGCTGGGGTTGTGGCTCAGTGGTAGAGCGCTTGCCTACCATGTGTGAGGCACTGGGTTCTATCCTCAGCACCACATAAAAATAAATAAAATAAAGGTATTGTGTCCATTTACAACTAAAAAAGTATTTCAAAAAATATTGTGAATGACACAAGTACAAATGCAGACTCACATAGGTTTATCATAGTAATGACTCAGGACTGGAAAAAAGTTCTTTTGTGCTTAAATGGAAAATGGAGTTAAGTTCTAGCCTCAGGTAATTATAAATGGGTTTCACCTACACAAATATCTGGCAGACATCCAGAAGTCAGGCAGTACCCAGGACAGTTCTTTATTATGTTCTATGATCTGAGCATAGCAGGACATCTAGCATTCCTGGCCTCTACCTATTAAAGGCCACTGGAGCTGCCACCCTACCAGTAATTGTAATCACCAAAAATGCATTTCTTAATTGACCTGTTCACACCAACTGGCATTTGAATGAAGTAGCTAAGGCAGTCTGCAATCAATGACAGATGAATGCTCTTACATCATTTTGTCCTAAATACACAAGCACTGTTTTTAGCTTTTGTGTCAGATAGCTGAAAGTTAGCTTAGAGGAATAAATAAATGAGTCTCTGGCTTAGTAGACTTCAAGACCATATGAACCAGGCCCTTCCTGTTGTTCTCTATCATAGCACCCTCTGATATTCCTAAATAGCATTTTTTATTGCTCACAAATATATCTTTTATGTTAATCCCTTGAGCTATGGGGCCAAAAACCCCTGTCTCTTTTGCTCCTCACTATATTCTTGGTATATTATGTGGCATGTAGAAAAAAACACGTAGTATGTGAGTTAGTAAGGCAAGCCACAGATGCATCCTCTATGAAGATGTCAGTAGATAAGTCCTAGGTAAAGCCAAATATCTTCTTACCTTCTGCCTTTTCTCCCACATCCGGGTATTAATTCTGCTGTGTCCCTGAGGACACATGGCTTCATTGTGCTGGTTCTCCACTGAGCTCAGAACACTAGGGCTCTGGCCCTGAGGCTAGATGTGGGCCCAGCTACTAGGAAGCTCTATCTGCTCCTCTATTAGGGATTATCTTTTCTATTCCTCTATGACTTATTTTGAGGTAAGAAATGTGAAAGTGAAGTGATATTTCAAGCTAATCACAATGGTCTAAACAGAAATTCTGGGATAGGAAGTTACCAAAGTCTCAACTAATGTGTCTAATGGGAGCAGCTTCTCAGGTTGCCTATGCTTCTAGGGTTATGGTATAGGAAGCTGAAGAGTTGAGTTTGGTCTCAGATTGGATTAGTATGTAGCTGGATATCAGTCTTCTCAATAGTGCCATTTGTTTACACTTAAAATTTTTTTATTATAAAGTATTACACAAGTAAAGAAAAATGAACAGTGGATAAGTTTATAGCTTAATGAATTATCGCAAAGCTAAACATTCATGCAGCTACCAAGTAATAGAAGACTCCAGGGCTAGAGGTATAGCTCCGTGGTAGAGTTCTTGCTTAGCATATGCAAGACCTGGACTTTGATCCTCATCACCAAAAAAAAAAGAATGAGGCAAATAAAAAAGAAAAAAATAAAAAAAGTCCTAGAACATCTTCTTATCTTCTTGTACCTCACGGGAGTCATACCCCCTCCTTTTCCAAAGATAATTACTATTCAAACTTCCAACATTATGGTGATAGTTTTTAAACAGTATGTATCCTTTTGTGGCCAGATTCTTCCACTTATATTTGTGAGATTTATACATAGTGTTACTTGTGTCAGTATTTTGGACTTTGTTATTGCTGGGCAGTATCCCACTATGTGAATATACCAGTACACACACACACACACACACACACACACACACACGTATGTATATATGTAGACATTACAATACTATTCCTTCTTTGTAGTGTGTATGTGTTTGTGTGTGTGGTACCCTGGGATCAAAGCCGGGGCCTTGTGCACTATAGGCAAGCACTCTACCATAGACCTATACCCAGTCCTCTTCTGTTGGTAGGTATTTGGGGTTGTTCCCAGTTTGGGACATTATAAATAAAACGCTATTTATATTTTGTCCTGTGCATACTTAAGTTTAATTGCTGGGTCATAGAATAAGTGTACATTCAACACTATTGGAAATTGTGAAATAGTTTGCCAAAGTGGTTGTGTAACTTTGTAGTTCCATCAGCTATTTATGAGTTCCACTTGTTTGAAACATCTTGATATTAGAAATACATTCTATTAACAGTGTTTTTACTTTGGGCCACACTGGTGAGTATGTAGTGGTGTTTTATTGTGATTTTAATTTGATTACTAAAGATGTTCAGCATTTTATTTGGATTTTTTGGCTTATTAGCCATCTTTCATGGACTGTTCAGGTCTCTTCCTTCCTTTTTTTCTTTCCTCTCTCTATTGAGTTGCCTTTTTCTTATTGCTTTGTATGAGTTCTTTATATACTTTGGATGTCTACTTAGATATTTTCTCTTATTCTGCATCTTGCATTTTCCTTCTCTCAATTGTATTTTTCAAAAAGAAGAAGTTCTTGTCTTTATTTGGTTCAGTTTACAAGTCTTTTCTCTATGGTTAGTCTTTTTAGCATTCTGTTTAAGAACATTTTTCTTACCTCAAAAGCATGAAGATATTTCCCTATGTTCTAGAAGTTTCTATTGTTTTGCCTTTCACATTACATCCATCATTCTTTCATGTTGCATCCACGATTGTAATCCATCATTTTTTCCTACTTGGATATCCAGTTGGCCCTGCACTTTCCCCACTGCTATGCATGGCCTCCTTTGCCAGCGATCAAGCACTATTCAGGCTTGGGTTTGTTTGGAATCTGTTTTGTTACACAGATCAGTTTTTCCATCCTTGTGTTAACACCAAACTATCTTAATTGCTATAGTTTTAGACTAAGTCTTGACATCTAGAAGGATAGATGTACTTCTTACAGATTTTTTTTTTCTATAGGTTTGTTTTGTAGCTTTCTTATTAAAGTAAGGCAATTACCTTCTGTTCCTAGTTCCTAATTTGCTGAGTTTGGGTTTGTTTTTAAATCATGGGTAGATACTGAATTTTATCAAATATTTTTCTGAATCTATTAAGTTTTTCTCCTTATTGAAATATTAAGCTAGACTTATATTTCTAGAATAGATTTGATAGCATTTTCTGGTAGACATCTGTTCTGGAATTTTCTTTGTTAAGGAAGAGTTTAAATTATAGATTTTTAACTAGCTGTCAGACTACTATTTTTAAATTTCTTTCATCATTATAAATAATTTTTCCCCTAGGAATTTGTCTTGTCTAAAATTTCAAACATAATTGTCTTAAAGTTATTTATAATGTTCTCTTTTGATCTCTTTTTATTTTGAGGTAATATCAAACTTAGATTAAAATTGTAAGAATAGAGCAGATAACTTTTTCTAAATCACCCCAGAGATGCTTAGCCATACGTCCCTTGGTTATCTCTGCATTTTGAGTTGATTTTTGTGTATGCTTTCAGGTATGAGTCTGAGTTTATTTTTTTACAAATGGATGTTAGAAATTTTTTAGCACTCATTTTTCGAAGAGTGCCCTTTCTCTACTAACCTTTGAACTTCTGTCAAAAACAAGTTGTCCATATATGTATGCTTTTATTTTTAGATTCTTTATTTTATTCTCTTGATCTATTTGCCACAGCTGTTTGTGATGGTGGGACTTGTCTAGTAACAGTTACCGTGTTAGGGGCGAATATTTTTAACTCCATCATACTGCTTTTAGTTCCCAGTTCATTTAAGCATCAACTATTATGTTGTAAGTTCACTGAAAAAGCCAGTAAGTTTTAAGCAAATTATGATTTATTACATGATCTCATATATGTTAATTTTATGAGAATGATTTTAAAAGTTATTTCAAGGGGCTGGGGATGTGGCTCAAGCAGTAGCACGCTCGCCTGGCATGCGTGCGGCCTGGGTTCGATCCTCAGCACCACATACAAACAAAGATGTTGTGTCTGATGAAAACTAAAAAATAAATAAATAAATAAATATTAAAAATTCTCTCTCTCTCAAAAAAAGTTATTTCAAATGAATGCTGTCACATTGATGGCTTTTTAATTTACTGAACAAAGAATAATTATTCAAGTCCTATGACACTTTGGTCATATCAGTCTTCTTTTACCAAATATACATCTTTTGGCTAGTTATTGGATCTTGTTGCTGTAGGAGTTTTTATTTTGCATTTCTTTTTAAATCTTCTCGAAGTAGAGATGTTATTCTTATAGGAACAGTTGTTATAGGACTAATATCATGTTTTAGATGTAGCCAGCATGCTTTATTCTCTAGCCATGTATCGCAAGGTTAGCTTTTATTATAACTCTCTAGGTAAGCTTTTTGTCTGACAATTCAAACATCAGATGAATGATTGGCCTCAGTGACTTTTAAATGTCCTTCAACCTTGAGATTCTATTATTTTTCAGCAAATTAAATTTCAGCAAGAATGTCTTGAGCACAATCTTAATAATGAATGTTATCTAAGAAGAGAAACTGTCTTTGCCTTTGAAAGGCTCAGAATTTTATTGGTGAGATAATACCTTAAAATATTGTTTAAAATTGTGCATGATTAATTATAGAATGAACAGCACACACCATAAATGCCTGAAATGTGAGCACAGAGGAGGAGACAATGTGGTAGAAGTAGAATGAGAAAGAGCACATCTTGTCATCTTGCGTGGGGGAAATCAGTGAAAGAGAGCCGCTGAAGCGGGACAAAGGAGTACACATTTGCAGGAATGTCAGTGAAGAGCTCAGCTAGCAGAAGCAGACAGCAGTTTGGTCTTGTTTTTAAAATGAGGGGCTACTTTATGAACTACTGCAGTTTTATCAGCAATGGCATTCCTTTGGGTGGGCACCTGCACAGTTGTTCCATTAGCTGTCAAGTTTGAAAATTATAGATTTGCATAACTAAGTTTTGCCACCAGTAATTATGTCTTAATATTGCAGCAGAGTAAAATTTTTTTTTGGACAAATTCTCACCCATATTATGAGACACATCTGTTGGAGAAACAGTATGAACAGGACTTACATCTGAGATCTGTGATTTTGGAGTTGCTAGAGGTTAGAGCTATCCTCAGACTGGCAACCCTCCTGCCTCAGCTTCCCAAGTTGTTGGTATTATAGGCATGTACTACCAGGCCCAGCTTTGGGGAAGTACTTTTGAGTTCTGTTGCTTTTCATCATCTGTTTGAGTCTAGTAGATTCTAGTGTTTTGTTTGTGTTTAGTTTTTAAGGTTCAAGGTCATACAGAGGTTAATTAAGACTGTCCTCCTGGGTTGTTGCTACAGTCTGAACACAGTATTCCATGTTATCATTTGATTTTTAACATGGTGTTAGAACTATAATTAAAAGTGTACTAATTTCCAGATGTGCTGCTGCATGCCTGTTAATTCCAGTGGCTCAGGAGGCTGAGGTAGAAGGATTGCAAGTTCAAAGCCAGCCTCACCAATTTAGTGAGGCCCTAAGCAGCTTAGCAAGACTCATGTCTCAAAATGAAAAATAAAAAGGGGTGGGGATGTGACTCAGTGGGTAAGCCCCTCTGGGTTCAATTCCTGACTAAAAAAAAAAAAAAAAATTCACACTAATTTTTGTTTAATATTGTTCAATTAAAATCAAATAGACATATACCAGAAAAAAAGTTTAAATAAATGTCCTGCAAAATTGTAAAGCACCATAGTTTCTTTCCATTAACTATGACTTAAACAAGTTATAGAATATTTCTAAAATTTAGTTTATTACTGAATATGAAATATGTATAATGAACCATCTGTAAGTATGAAAATTCCAGATATTCAATTTATATATCATAGTTTTCAGTTTTTAACCTTATGTAACTAAACTCTTCTCAGGTAAAACTTAGAATGTGGATAATATTTTATAATCTTCTGTCTCACATTAAGTTTTTACAATATTTGATGTCTAGAAACTTAGAAAATAATTGATAGACATTACTTTTCTGCCTGCTTTCTGATCACCCCATTATTGATCACCACAGGACCGTTACTATAGCTAATGTGCATTTTTCTCATGTCTCCTACAGGCCACAGTCAGAACCAGCAAAGTGCATACATGATGATTGGGCCATTTTTATTGAAGAAAAAAAAAATTGAAGCAATGGAAATTTAATCTTAACAAAGAACAATATGAGATTTTCTATCCATTTTATCTCATTAACACATATTTTATTCTTCTCAACCAGGTAGAATTTGGTCTATAAGAAATACATTTTAATATGCTTAGTTGGAAAAAATTTTTAAAAGAATTCAGAGCTGTTGGTGCTGTAAAAATAGTGCATGTATTTCTGTGATTGTTTTAGTGTCACTTTTTTGTTGTTCATTTTTGGCAGATAAAATAACACAAGAAGATATTGAAGGCATACTACAGAAATTTACTGGGACAATAATGCAAGTACCCCCTCTGTGAGTTCAATTATTGATTTGATTAAATGTTTAAATTACTTTCCACTGCTTAACATCACTCTAAACTAGAATGGGATTCCTTTTGTTATATGGCAAGGCAAATTTTAAATCTGCCATAGGGAATGATCGTGTAAAGGTGAGCCAGATTTAGACTCACGTAAAGCTCTGTCTAGGAGGTAGTGTGGCGTGGTCTCCTGTCCTTGGGTGTTCCACAGTCTAGCATCTGGGCTGTTTGTGTTTTTATCAGCTTTTCCAATTCTGTCTATAGATATCAAGGCAGTTCTGCTGCTCAGAGATGTTACTTTCCCAGAAGTTACCATGAAGGACCGTGCTGAGAGCATCAGAGTTGTGCTAATATGTCCTAATATGCACTGCCTCTCAGAAGTTAGGCCCATTCCTTTGGGGCCTAGAATTTTTCTCTATGACAAATGGAACAGATGAAAGTTATATTAAAAATATAAATATTTTGCTTTACCACTCGGTTCATTCAGGTTGCTATAACAAGATATAAACTATAGCTTAGAAACAGCAGAAATTATTTCTCACAATTTTGGATGCTGAGAAGTTCAAGATAAGGGACTCCTGGTTCAGTTGTTGGTGAGGGCCAACTTTCTCATAGCCAGTGCCTTCTTACTGTGTTCTCACACTGAAGGGGCAAGACAGCCATCTGGGGCCTCTTTGGTAAAGGCAGTGACCCCTTCTGGGAGGGCTATGCTCTGTGATCTAATCACCAACCAAAAGGTCCTGCTTCCTAATACCATAATATTGGTACTTAGGATTTCAACTTTTAAATTTGGAAGAGTCATAGATGTTAAAACCATAACACCACTTAACCATATTTGTGCGCATGTGACCATTTCAGGCAAATCACTTTTTTTTTTTTTAATGGCTGATGTTAAGTCAGGATAAGTTACTAAGAGTTATTTTAGAATTTTGTATTCATATTGCATTTTTAACTCTTTTTTTCCCTCTTTTTAAGAATGTTGAACTACCTATGGAAAAATGGTTTTTCATATATTTCCTCAAATGTAAAACTTTAAAAATTTTAGTAAGGCCTGAATAAAAATTAACTTAGGCCATTGTTAAACTGAATTAAACTTATAAGGACCATTTTAGATTTTCTTTGCTCTGACTATCCAAGGATTTTGTGACCTAATAAAATTTTATTACACAGAGCTAAAATATATGAAGTAGAGTTTATGCTTATAAGCTTTTTAGAAACACTGATAACTTTAATATAAAGTGAAATTTATTATAGTAGAAATTATTTCAAGGAAATTTAGCTGAGATCATTATGACCAGAGGCTACTACTGAGTTCCTTGTGCCCTTGACATAGAAAGAGACTAGGGAAGGGAATGTATGAGTAGCCCATCTCCAGGAAGATCGTTAAAGAAGGGCTCATTGAATGCCAGAATGGGCTCAAATTAGCCTCTAAGATATTTAGGAGCTTTATCCCTGAAAACATTTTGGAGTGGGTTGGAAGAAAAACCAGTTCAAGTTTTAGAAGGGCTTTTCACTTTAAAGGGCTGCTAGATATTCTTTCTTTTCATGCCATCATATGGAATTACCATCTCTCATTCTCTCTCAATCTCCCTCAGATCGTCCTCTCTTATTCCCTCCCTCTCTCCCTCTCTTATCTTGTAAGTTATTCTGCATTAAAGAAAGATGGACAGAGACTTTCAACTTTAATGAAGAGAGGTGAAGTAGTAGAAGCAAAACCTGCCAGGCCAGTAACTGTATACAGTATCTCCCTTCAAAATTTCCAGCCACCATTTTTCACATTAGGTAAGATGGAGAAATCTGAAACCATTTGTATTTACTGTACCTTTATTTATATTTAGTTGCTGTTGAATAATTCTAATGGTTCCCTATGTTTTTGGAGATTCTTCTTAAATTTTGAATTTATGAAAGGTTGTGATTTGGTTACACATTTAATGAGATACCTCAAGCTACATGGAGGTTCAGAAATGTCTTTTTCACTAGGCTGAATTTTTCATGTTATAGGATGTCATCTTGCTATTAAATGGAAGTAGCATACCTTAGATCCATCCCTCCGGAGAAGGTCTGGGGACGTGGCTCAGTGTAGAGCACTGCCTAGCGTGTCCAAGGCCCTGGGTTTCATCCCCAGTACTGCAAAAAGAAAAAGCTCTCTATGGAGAAAACAGTATATATCTTCAATGTTTTAGACTTAAAATTTTTATCTTATGGAATGCTTTTCTTTCCATTTTTGACTACTACTGATACATTTGGTTTTAGAATAGATGTTAATTTGTCCTCTTAATATCCTTTAATAAAGAAAAAAATTCTTTATTAAAGAATTTTATCCTTTAATAAAATATTTTTAGCTTTTGGACAAAAACAAATTTTAAGAATGGACTCATCCCCCCCCCCCCCCCCTTTGTTTCCTGTAAGTTACTACTAAAGATCCTGAAAATATGGAAGAAACAGATAAGGCAGAATGTATCTTTGACAACATGGTCACATTTTAATTCAGGCCATCAATTTGAATATATAATTCAGATTTGAAATAAACTATAAAGCTAGTTTTTGTTGTTTAGAACTTGTATGTGCTTCCTGGCTGCAGCAAGTTGTAGGTAAAGTCTTGAGCACCTAAGAGCTGTGAAGTATCAGGAGGTGTAGTTCTTGATGCTCAAGCTCTCTGACATTGATCCCACCATTAATTTCATATAGTTAGGATTCCTTTTAGAAATAACTTTCCAAAACCATTATTCCTAAACTTTGTTGCTTTTCGTCACTGGCATTATTATTTAATGTGTATTAGGTTTCTGCAGAATGTGATATTATATAGTTAAAGAAACTCATTTTCTTAAGTACCTTGATTGTAAATTGACAAATAATGAAAAAAAAATCACACTGAAAAGTATTTTGCTCCATTCACTGAAAATGCAACATCTGGCCTGGCAGAGTGAGTATTGTTTACAAAAATAAGAAAATTCCTATTTTTCTGACTTCATATGTCATAAATGCCTTATTTCTTTGACTCGAGACTGCGGTAGGCCAAAGAGTTGTCTTTCACCGAAGTCAGATATAATGCAAAAAATGTCAGCACACCTCGATTCCACCCTGGTGCTCCTTTGAATTTTATCAGTGTCCCCAACCATTAGTTCATGGGGGGAAAGAAAGAAGAATAATTAAAATCTCCAGGTGGGGAATTTTTATTAATTTCACTGATGGCTGTATTCCTTCCTTGAGATTAGAGACAGCAAGAATGTAGTCCTTTTGTGTGGAAATGCGGCAGCTCTTTTTGGTATATCTTGATGATAATGAAATGAAGCAAACCCCTGCTCTCCCACCGATGAACTTGTAAATGCTATGCTAACAAGCTGATTAGATAATCAGTCAGTCCTAGGACTTTGTGTAATTTCAAGTTATGTTGTGATTTTTTTCAAAAATAACATTTACATATCCTGAGCTTTCTGTGTATACTATAGTACACAAACATGATCCTTATCATTGTGAAAGATTTCTTTGTTGCTTGATTTGTTGGTTATATTTTTTTGAACTTACATATCTAAAAGGTTTTAAATATCTACAGCTCATGGGAGCAAAGCTGATATTTCTAACCATTTAAAACCTAATAAATGAACAAGGTTCATGTATCTGAAAGTATTTTTAATGTCTGTATTTCATGACAGCAAAACTGAGATTTCTAACTATTTAAAACCTATTAAGGGAACAAGGCTGAGGTATTAAAGGGGTATGACTCGCCAGTTAATTTAAAATGTGTTCATGAGTTTCTGCTGTTTGCTTTCTCTACACTTTGACTTTTCAATCTCACAAACACATATGCTGCAGGATGAATAATTTATGTTTCAGCACATAAATATTTTATCACTCAATGGTTTGCATAGTGCATTTTTTACACTTGTTTAGGGGCATCATTTCTATGTAAAGTGGATTTCATAGGAGGTTAGCAATTTACCATGTCACTGTTAACATTCCAGATGTTGAATGTGGAGGAGGTTTTTATATCAGAAGCTTGGTCAGTGACATTGGCAAAGGTAAGCAGAAAAATGAATTATGAATTATCATTTAGAGAGTAATATTCCTTTTTGATGGGAAGAGGGAATTTTCTATTTTTCATATTTCTGAGTAGTGGCCTGTGGAACTGAGCTCTTACTGCTTTCAGCCTTGGGAGCATTGTCAGTTTCTAGCATGGAATTACCATCCTCTGCAGCTATAGTGAGGGACTTGTGATGGGACAGGAAGAGAAAGGAATGGCAGATGAAGGCAGGAGCAATGAATGCAAGAGCCAATGTTTTTTTAAGTACAAAACATTTTAACTCCAAGTAGATATCAGAAAAAAAAAAAGACATATCCTCCTAAAAGTTATATTTATTGATGCAAATCACATTTAAAAAAAAAAAAAATCCTGGAAACCATAGTCTCACAAACCACCAGGAAGTTGTGATTCTGGCTCTGCTATTTCCCGGCAGTTACAACACTAGACTAGTATATCTCCTGTGCAAAGTAAGGGTAAAATTGACCTCATGAGGTTGCTTCATGAATTGAATAAAAATAAATATGTGCCAGTTTTTTGTAGACAGTTCATGAGTTATTATATTGTTTTGCTACTTAGTTATCTGTTTATCTTAGGGGTCTTGGCTCTTACTGGTTTACTTACAGTTCAGCTTTTGGGATGGTTTTGAGAGGTTTGAGTCAAGTTCTTTTGTCATTTGAAAGATTATAGATTGTGAAATACTGAAACCCTCATCTTATGGAATTTTCACCTTTTGTTGTTGTAGAGCTCTCTTCCTGTGCCAATGTACTAGAGCTTACCCGAACCAAACAGGGGCCATTTACACTAGAAGAACATGCCCTCCCTGAGGACAAATGGACAATTGATGACGTTGCACAGTCTCTTGAGCATTGCTCGTCTCTTCTGCCAGCAGAGCTGACACTTAAAAAATCAAAACCCGAAGAGTCTAATGAGCAGGTTTTGAGCTGTGAATATATGACTCTAAATGAGACAAAGGGGGAAGATGATGTTAATAAGACATTCTGAAGTTGTCCTGAGAATATCATCATTTCCTGGTTGACATTTGAATCCTGTGTGTAGATGCAGAATGACAGGCTACGTGCAAGGGACAACCGATTCTTCTAACTTCTTTTTTTTTTTTTTTTTGCATGAATAAAAATGACCATCATTTAGTTTCTATAGCCTACAATTTATTTACTATACATTATGAATGGAGTTGCACTTGTTCAATTCTTTTCTATACTATCGATTGTTCTTTTAAGATATTTTTATATTAAAATATGAATTTGATTGGAATCAGGATATTGATGGTGTGTTTGATTTCTTCAGCCTTTTTCTATGAAAAAGCTGAACTGATTTTCTAAGCAAAGATTTATGAGCTACGTGTCTGAGTAGCATCATTAAATGTGATTTTGATTTTATTTGGATTTCCATGTGGCTTCATTGTTTAAGAATTCTCTAACTCTGTTTGAAATGGCCATTACTGAACTCCTTCTTGCCTTTGGAGAATTTGTTATTAAAAAACATTTCCTTAAAAAGACTGTACTCACCTAGTATTTGCTGTGTGTGTTTAGATCTTAGAAATGAATAAAGTTTTATAATAAATATTTGTAAATGAACCAATCATTGCTGCTACCACTTACAATATGTAAATAAAAGACTAATATTGAATTAATTTCTCTTCTGTTAGAGTCCAAGACAGCTCCTCCTCCAATAGCTTTGTGCAGCTGTGTGCTTTTTTTTTTTTTTTTTTTTTTTTTGTGATTTCATCAACCCAATCAACTACTTTGTGCCAAATTACTAAGTAACATAATTTTAAAAATTTAAACTACAGACTGTATCTTAAGTTAAGGTTTTCTCTGATCTTTAACTTTTATTTCTCTCTCTCTCTCTCTCTCTCTCTCTCTCTCTCTCTCTCTCTGGTTTCTTCAGTGGTTTGCTCTTTATAGTGAAGTTTATAGACTTGGAGGTAGCTGTCCTGTGCTTCCAGCTGATCCCTTCTGCTCCAATCACTACTTAAAAAAGTAGTGATTCTAAAATGTTTTTGTTCAAATAGCTGGAAAGTTACAAATCCCTCTTTCCCATAATTTTGAAAATTATAAAATTGTAAATTTTATGAAATGCATCCTTCATAATTTTGTTGAGAATGTAATGTATTATGCAAATGATATGCAGAAATGTTTAATTTCCTCTTCATTTACTCAAATATAATTTCAAAAGGAAAATTTTAAATTTCATAAAATTTGAGTTTTGGGATTTTTATTGATTACCTTTAAAGGTGGTTGCCTGTTTGCAACTCAGCATTTTAACATTTAAATTTAAAGTTATTTTATTTGTGGTTTATCTATTTGTGGTTAATATACAAAGTTAGGTGCTTCAGTAGAGCATCTTCAGCATATTGGCAACATTTGAAATGAAAATATTAAAACTAATTCTTAGTATGAGACCAAAAACTGAGCATACTGATACCTTGCTGCATTACCATAAAATGATAAACACATAAATTTATAAATTGAAAATTTATTATTTTACTTATTCATTTGTAGTACTCTACAATTTGTGTCAACCAAAGGTGGCAGTGGCTACCTCTGCCTGTTAAGAGTGGCATAGGTTGCAATATGTTTTCATTCGTTGCCAAAGTCCAAGTTGGGGAATGTTTCAGTTTTAGAATATGGATGAGGTAGTTCTGCTTTTTTTTTTTCCCATCTTAAAAATTGACATGTGCAATTTACTGATTAGGAAAATGTCAAGATTATTTGAGAAGGAAATAACTTCTAAAAATGATAGCCAGTCCTTTTCTTTTATATTGAAAACATTGAAGAAAATTTTCCCAAATAGAAAAATTACCTCTAGTCCTTACCATCCTAATGCACTAACTTTCAAAGTTTGATTTTTATAATACTATTTTTTCCTTTTTGTTCAGATAATTAGTCTTATACGACTTTAAAAAAAAAAAAAAAACTGGTACTGGGGATTAAACACAGGGGCCCTCCTCCACTGAGCTATACCCCCAGCCCTTTTTAGTTTTTATTTTGAGACAGAGTCTCGCTAAGTTGCCTAGGCTGTCCTTGAACTTGTGATCCTCCTGCCTCAGCCTCTTGAGTAGTTGACATCACTGTGACCACCATGTCCGGCAGGCACCTATAGTTTTTTATTGACAATTTTTATTTGATATTATTCATATTTAGTTTTGATAGTGATTATTGTAATCATATTCCTACCTACTCATAATTTGTTTGAATCATTTTCCTATGACAAAATACTTGAATTGTTTTGTTTTATGAGGATAAATTCTCCGAGTGGGATTATTCAGTGAAATTATTTGACTTTTATGTTTTATGTTGCCTTATTGTATTCCCAGAATTGTTACACCTCACAGTGTCCCACTTGTGTTGGGATTTTTATGTGCTGTTGTTACTTAATAAGAGAAAAATCAAAGTTTCTCTTAATTGCTTTTGTGTGATTACCTGCATACTTTGTACATCTAGATAAATAAATGTCTTAATGGTTTCTTGATCTGTATGAGTTATTTGTGCAGTAAATGCTTGATAAAAATGTTTATCATGACTTTTGTAAACCTTAAGGCTTTTTTTTCATTTTGCTGTCTAGATTTGCTAGAATGAATTATTTTATGAATTCATTCTCTTTTATCGCATGAAGGGTTAAATTATACTGAAACTTTAAAATATTCTTGTAACTCTCACAAGTAGCTAAAACTAATAGAGATGCTCTGAAAAATTCAAGATTCATCCAGTCTGGAATTTAAGTACCAGCTCTCTCCCCACCACCATTTTAATCAAAAATATTAAAGAAGTATTTATGTCTCATATATTTCAGGCCTAAGGCTTCATACCATAATACAGTTATTTTTCTTATAAGCAAAAGATAAATTAGAAATTCTTAAAAATGTCTTAACCTGGAATATACCAAATCACTACATTTTGGACACTTTAAGCCTTTTATATTACTGAAAAATATTGTCCTAACCTAAGACCAACACAGTGGCTTTAGAATTATTTTATTTGAGGTCTTAAAATCCCTAAGCCCTAAGGCTGGGGTTTTAGCTCAGTGGTAGAGCACTTGTCTTGCACACGAGAGGCACTGGGTTCGATCCTCAGCACCACATAAAAATAAATAAATAAAATTAAGGTATTGTGTCCATCTATAACTAAAAAAAAAAAAAATCTTTAAATCCTTGAGCATTAAAATAATAGAAATCTGCTGTCGATAAATTCAAGATTGAGAAATGTGAGTAAGAGCTAAACTCACAGTGTCTTATGCTGACCAGATCTTTTCCTCTCAAATACTTGAATCAAGACAAGCCACTGGCTCATCATCAGAAATGATTCTGCTAAGAGTGCTTTATGTCAGGTCTTCAGTACATCTTATGACTCTGACCAGTTTGAAATTTGTATTGGATTTACAATGGACGTATAGAGGTTCAATTAGGTGGTGGATTGTTCTGTTTTCAAAGAAAGCAAACAGTTGACCTTTTGAGGTATAAAATAGAAGATGTGATTCAAAAGCACTCTATAATGTTAAGACATTTATTAAATAGAGAATAATAAGTATGAAGTTTAGGCTCTGAAGTCGTCATAATAGCCTTGTACTTAAAATTTAAATAGGATTGTATTGAAATTTTCTTTCTTTAAGGTGTGTGTGAGCAGCGCTAGTTTGCCCTGCTGGTTCATTTTATGTCATTGTCAAACACTTGTTACATGGCATTCAAATCAGTCACACCTTCATTTGTCAACTTGTGAATTAAATTCTTTGAAGAGAATATTTTCAGATTGCTGTTTTCAACAGTGATGCCAGTAGGAAGGTTTAAGTCAGAAAAGTATTTTGCTCTTTTATCCATTACTTTTAAAATTCAGTATATCAGATTATTTTTCTCTCTGCCTTAATCTGCTCTTCATTCCTATGCAAAGCCCTTAATCATTTTAGGCCTCAATTTGTCCATCTTTAAAACAAAGGAGACAAACTTTTCTCTAATTATTTTTCCAGCAGTCAAATATTAGGGTTCTGAGTGTAGGTCATTTGTATTTATTCTGCTCAGGAACTCATTCCTCATGAAACTGAGTCTTTATCTTGTTCATCAATTCTGGAAAATTTTCATTTCTTTGCATATCACGTCTCTTCCAGCTAGTAGTCCTATTTATATCTTCACATTTTAGTCTGTGTCTAATTACTCTTTCATATTTTCCATCTCTTTATCCCACTATTCCTCATCCTGGGAAATTTCCTCAAATCTTCTTTCCAAATAAAGAATTCCTTCTTCTGCTATTTTTATTTTCTGTTTAACAACTCTATTTCAGTGGCTATTGTGTTTTATTTTTATTCCTAGAACATTAACTGTTTTTCAAAATCTTTTTGTGTGATGTCTTATTCTTTCAGTAGGGGTTTGGTAAACCTTTTTTTAATCTTTTTATTAGTTATACCCAAAATCACACATATCATAAATATATAGCATTATTTTTTTCCCCCCGCAAATCAAACGTGTAACCAGAAATGAAATCAAGAAACAGATCATTTGGGGCTGGAGATGTGGCTCAAGCGGTAGCGCGCTCGCCTAGCATGTGTGCGGCCCGGGTTTGATCCTTAGCACCACATACAAACAAAGATGTTGTGTCCGCCGAAAACTAAAAAATAAATATTAAAAAATTCTCTCTCTCTCTTTCTCTCTCTCTCTCTCTTTAAAAAAAAAAAAGAAAGAAAGAAAGAAACAGATCATTACTAGTCCCTCTCCCCAAGCCCTCTAGAAACTCTTTTCCAATCACCAGTTACCCACTCCTACACCCCCACAAGGGTAACCCCTTCTAGCATTATAGATCATTAATGTTGCCAATCTTGTGCTTTATATAAATAGTATTCATGCCTGGCTTCTTTTCCCAATGTTATGCTTGTTTGTTTGTCTGTTTGCTTTATGGACATTGAACCAGGTTCCTTCTACCACTAAGCTACATCCCCAGCCCTTTTTATTTTTTATTGAGGCAGGATCTCACTAAATAGTTGCCCAGGCTGGCCTTGAACTTGCTTCAGTCCCCTGCATACCTGGGATTACAAGCATGCGCCAATGCTCCCAGTTCAAAGTTACATTTATAAGGTTCTTCCATTTTATGTTGCTGTCATAGCTCAGAGTGCTTATAACAAAGTACCACCGAGTGGGTGGCTTAATCAGCGGACATTTATTTCTCAAAATGCTGGAGGATGGGAAATACAAGTTCAGGGTGCTGGCAAGGTCAGGTTCTTGGTGAAGGCTTTCTTCCTGGCTTGCGGATAATTACCTTCTCACTGTGTCTTAATGTGGCAGAGAGAGGAAGCTCTTCTGTCTCTTCCTCTTACAGGGCACTGATCCCATTATGAGGGCTCTAGCCTCATGAACTCACCTAAACTTAATTGCTTCCCAAAGACCCTGCCTCCTACCCATAACACTGGGCACTGGGACTTCAACATAGGAACTTTAGAGGGAGACAGGCATTTAGTTTATAACAGCTGCCTAAAGTCATAGGCTAGTAATTCTCACTATTGCTTAATATTCCATTGTGTTTAGTATTACCCCTGTTTATTCATTTTTCTGAATGATAGGCTAGCACTTCACTAGCTTTCAGTTTTGGATCTATAAGTGATTTAGTACTGATCTGGTAAAAACATGCACACATTGAAGTTGGACATTTCTAATAATGAAATCTAGGTTTTAAACTATAGATGGGTTAAGCTTTAGTTGGTACCAGAGCAGTTTTTCAAAGTTACTGTT